AAAGTAAAATACTCTTAATGAACTAAGCTTCGTGGAGAGATGACTCCTGTGCATTGTAAGCTCATCATTTGTACAATTGGTTGTCACTTTCCTTCACTGTTTCATCGCTGAAAGAAGACAATTCGGAATCACGTTTCGTGGAAAAGCTTTTTGTGTGATACCAGTAGTTTGGATTATATGGGTAAAAGTGGCAAACTAGTTTAACCTGTCGTTATAGATCCCTTGCAGGCTGGCATATGCATGACGATCATCATTTCTTTCATCATCATGGCCAGAACTGAAAGCGAAAAAACAAATGTGTTTGATTAAGTTATATTCTTCATATTCACACACATGTTTTAAGCCTCGTCGCCCAACCTCAACGCCGCATCGCGCTCGCTAATTTGAGGATTTACTGCAGATGCAAGAAGTGAAGTAGAAGCGAAACCAGGAAGTTTCATAGGTCTTACCTTGTGTTATACACATACCTTAGGGTGGCGTAAACGTGGACTGCTTTCTCGTCTGGTCGAAAGCTCACTGTTGGTGCTTTCCGGCTTTCACTTTTCTTGCTACTCCTGCAATAAATTTAAAAAACCCAAAATAGATTGCAATTCCATGCACCTGGCCATCGATGAGGTGAAAAACCAGCTAGTTATAACTGGATGAAACAAAACGTTTGCTTCACTAATTGAGTGCAAATTTTTGTTTAGATTTTTCTTACAACTTTAAAGTTGTTATTCATAATCGTTGATGGCTGGGTTTTAAAGTAAGATCATATAGGCCACTTACGAGATATTCCTGTACTACTTTCTATGTATCCTTGCGAAGGAAGCAAAAGTTTTTAAAATGGCACTTCATATCTTAACTGAATTAGGTAAACCATGTAGCATTTTAAGGATGTAATATCGATAACAAACGGTTGAACTTACCGTTTTTTGTGAAAGCAAAACAAAGCTACTGCGACCATCACACAAATTACTACCAAAGATGCACTTAATGCAGCGATGAGGGAGGTGTTTGCTGCAGACTCGCTTTCATCGTCCAATGTATCCGAAAAACCTTCTCCTCTCGTCTTAGAGATGTCCTCAGTTCCGATGGTTGTTATGGGATGTGTTCCTTCTCGAGAGCTAAATCTGCTCCCTCTGGTAGAAGACATCTCTTGAGTAGTCTCTGCGCTTGATGACATTGTGGATGCTTTATCATTGTCAATTCTCTTATGAGTTGAGGCAAGGGTTGTACTTGGGGTCGTTTTGGCTGCTGTGTTTGGAAAAAATAGCATCGGTTGGAGGCATATGCAGAACATTCCAGACAAGGATTCCTGACCTAGCCTTTTTACTTTCA